ACCCTTGGCGCCATATCACCACAGACGGGCGAGAAGGGCGCTATAGCGCCAGTAACTACCTTTCTAGAAGATACATTGAATTTGGCTGAATTTGAATTTTGGAGGGGTGTTTGATGAATTTTGGAGGGGTGTTTGAAGAAACCCTTGGTTATTTTTTTATTTTCTATTTAATGAGAAGGATTTGACCAAGTTTAGAGAACTTTTGGAGCCTCAAAACTTCAATTGGGCGGCAATAATGAGTTTGGTTTTTCATATTTTGTGTTCAAGTGTAAGTGTGAGTGTGTTTTAGTGTGAAGAAGTTTGGAGATTGCTTAGAGGAAACTCCAGAAGTTTGCTTAGGGAGAAGACATAATATACTTTGTATTTGTTTTTGAGTTTTTTTTTGTAAGACTTGAATTTCAATGCAAATGTTTTGTTCTTGTTTAATCTCCATGAATTCTGAGTAGTTCTCTTTCCTTATTCTTGCATATGGGACTTAATCTTTTGGGATGAAAATGATTTAAGGAATTCTTTTTACTGTTCAAAATTGTGATGATATTTTCACCGAATATTCATTTACTTTGCAAATTGGCCACTTGTGAGTTTAAAATTCGTTAAGAAACATAATGACCTGGGAAGACTATGATTTCACCCAACTAGTGGATACTACACTTCATTCTAGGCAGAATATTGCGATCACCTAAGAGGGAGTGCAAATAAATAGGGAGATAAGTTTTGATGGGCGTAAAATATGTTAGATCTACAGTGACATGCTAGATTCTTATCAGTTTGGCTTAAGGTTTAGTACCCTGACGTTGGGATTCGATCATTACGATGACATAGGCTAGGGGCATCTATAGGTGAGAGGCTAGATATCACTGATGTGGGGTCAAGATGTTAAGGAATCGTCCTAAAGTTAGCTAATGTTCTTTGCAAGCACCGGGAGGGGTAAAAAATAATGTATGCTTCTATTTTTCACAATACCTCAATTTGGCCTTAAATCATTTGAATCCTACATAGATTAAAATCTCATTCAAAGGGGAAATTTTTTCCATAATATCCAAACAAGTTGTTATATTTTGTTAAGTTGTTATATTTAGTTGTTACTTTCTTTTTAAGTTATTTTAGTAGTAATTTTTTGTAAGCATATCATTTTAAATCTTTTATCTTTTTAAACTGCAATTTATATATAATTTATGTAAATTGATTTTAAGAGTTACCGGATTCCTCATGGGATTGATGTCGGGGTTTTTATAAAAAATATTATTTTACTTGAAACGATACATATACTCGTCAGTACCCTTAGTGTGAAAATCTATTATATAATTCATAAATCAATGTAAGTGTTCACACTAGCTACTAGATATAAATTTAGATATAATTTTTGGCATAATTAAAGAGATTAAAAATACACGTAAGTGCGGGTTGGGTCATTAAACATCACTTTTTGTGCTGCTTTGTGTGTTTATTGGGTGTGAGATGTGCACACTAGTATGTTAAGGGCGTTCTTATTGCAAGAAGCCTTGTCCAACAAGGAGGAGCTGTAATGATTTATCTAATCACAATTTTTTCAGGTGCTATTTAGTTCTCTTCCCACCAAGCGTGGCTCATGACATTGCATGTTAGTAGCTTTATACTAACATTGTTTTTATGCAGGATGAGTTTTTTTTTTAACTTTTCATATGCAATTTTTAAAGTCCTTTGGAGAGTCCTGTATTAGAAATAAGATATGAGCATGAATTCTGAAATGCCCAATGGGTGGAACCACGTGATAGAGATTAGGAGTTGCTTGTTTGTTTCCCGTACTTATTTAGTGTTTGGCCATCATTTTTTTTTTGTTTTTGAGATATGTTGCTGACTCAACGACACCTGACCTATTATTATTTTGATTTGGCTTGTTTACTTTCGGGCTTCTTGCATGTGATTGTCAGTTATGCCTTTTTTGCTCGTTGATTGTCTGGGAATCATGCGAATCACTTAAGCTCTCTAAGGACCTAATATTCCAAAATTTTCTACAAAAGTTTAATACTAAGATATTTGAGATTAATTAACATTTAGACTTAAAATATCTCAAGATTTTCAAAATCTAAACCTTACTTGCCTTCGAGCCAGATTTTAAATGATTGCATAGCATGACCTTCACCCAAGTCATAATTAATAGGGCATCCACACCCAAAACTTGAATAGATAACTGCATCCTTCTACATGCCCTAAGGAGAAGTCCACGTGCTTCTCCAACCCGACAGACCCATCATAGATTTCTACTTTGGTGGTTTTCTAGTACGTTTAGGGTGCTAGAGGCTTCCCCAACCCAGACGGGGAATAAGTCCTTTGTGGGAATGCCTCCAGCTTTATGAATGTACCTCCCTTCTCTTTTCTACTCCAATGGCTTCCTCACCACTTTGGCAGGTATAATTCTCACGTTTACTCTTCTTACTTACATAGGTTCATAGAATTTAGAGTTTCCTTCTCTTGAACTTAGGCTACTGAGAACCCCTTGAACAATGCAATTCACGGATTGCTAACAAGGGGGTCTCCGGTTGTGTTGGGTTGACTACCTTTATGATCAGGTAAAACTTGGGATCCTAATAGCTTGAAATGACAGATCTGTCGTATCCTGACTCGAGTATCTTCACCCATTTAGGATTACTTCACCATTTCCTTATTTGCCCCTTTTGAGCTCTGTCACTACTTTTGATGCTTCGTTGAATTGTCTTATAGGCCTCGATTGCATATATGTCGCCACCAATTTGGGATACGGTGGTTTATCCTCTACCCTTATAGTCGGGTTAGGCCCTGAAAGCTTAGTGTGGATCTTATGAGTCTACTTGGTTATTTCATAGGACTCGATTGCCAATAAGCCGCTACCCATTTAGTTTGCAAGAGACCTGCTCTCTACCATGTGGCTTAGCGAGAGCTTTTAAAAGCTTCAAGGTGCTCCTATGAGCTTAGCGAGAGCTTTTGAAAGCTTCAAGATGCTCCTGTGAGGTAACCATACTTTTTGACACCCCTTTACTAGTTGTCACTTAAATTTAAGTAAGATTTCTTTAATCAAGAGTATTCTTGGGCATCCTCTACGATGTAATTAACCGAAGGGATACATCCTTTTGAGAGTTTCTCTTGACCCAAAAACAAGCACACAACCTTGACTCTCTTGTTATGGGTTGCTTTCGTAGGTTTTTTTTTCGCGGATATGTTGCAATGCTTTTTTAATCCGATCTCATTTTGAATGTACACTTTTGGGCTATCACGCGAAATTTACTTTATGAAAGTTCTCTACGCCCTTTCTCTCATTTGTCTTCTTTTATTGTATGGCCTTATTTTCTGATTCCTACCCTCTCCAAATCATCCATAAGATCCAAAATATAAATTTATTCGAAAAAGAGAATTATACGATGATAGACATGCTGACAACTACTAAAAAAAGAGAAAAAGAACGAAAATAAAAGCATAAACAACAATGAAATCGGGCGTACATTATGAACAATAAAAAAGTAATAATAACTTATGCTCATATATCATCATAAGACAACAAGAGTGTTGTAAGCATTATGATGAATATGCTCAATTATTTTACCGCATCATGCAATCATTTGAAATCCAATTATGTCTTACCGGTGTATAACTTAGCAATTATTTATTTTCAGTTTCAATTCAATAACTAACTGTAATAGACACAATGAAACCGAAAAGGTTAATATAAATCTAAGAAAGCCCGATGATTTTCTGTAGAGTTGTCATTCTTTAAGCCCGTGGGCTCAACTCAACTAGCCAATATCCAAAAGGGTTTGAATGACCCGATATAACATCATACACAAGCAAGCAAAATTTTTCACATGTATAATATATAAGAAATAAATTACTTCACATAGACTTGTGATGAAAAAAATTTACATGCAATTTTTATAAAAGTAAAGTGCAAGAAAAAAATATTATAATTGTAGGATTTAATCAAATATGCATCCAATTATGAAACAATAAAATAAAGCATTTCGATACTTCATTATGTACAATAAATGAAACCTATAATAAGTATCAAAATGAAAAATATAAATGAAGCAACAAGGACATGAATGACAATCCTATAAAAGTAGTTGTGAATATACTACAAGCAATAAAATAACACTCATAACTAGAAATTGTATGTTTCTCTCCTAATAAAAAATAGTTACTTTCCTCTAGATGAAAAAAAGTAACGTGTAAGTATTTCAACTATTAAACTAGTGTTGACTAGCAATCTTACACAAGATAGGATAAAAAATATCAATAGTTATGCAAACATAGTTATTAAATTATGTCTAATAGAATTAACATATATTATTATTATTACTAGTATACATATTCTTAACATGTATCATTACAATATCCATAGCAAACGACTTCATCAAATTTATCTCTAATATTATTTATCCTAATAGTCAAATAATTAAAATGAATCAACATTAAAATAGAAAAAAGTGGAGTAGCTTACAACCCCCACTCATTCGAGATGAAGGAGGGAGTGAGTATCGATCCCTGCCTTCGGTTGTTTCAAAGAAAAGAAATAAGCGAAAGAGAGACAGCTACACAGGATTATCAAACTGTAGAGCGAGTGAGGTAAGGTGAGACAATCGATCCGTCGACTTCACTATATAAGGATTTGAGGCAATGAATCGAGCAGTTTGGAAAAGTGACAACCGAAAAGCGCAAAATGAGAAGAAAATGAACAAAAATCTTGAAGGAGATCACGAGAGGTTCCAAATCGAGAAGACAGCCGGGAATATCGTGAAAATCTGCACAATCACGTGATTCATGCCACAAATGAGAAAGGTGGGTGTAGGGATAATAAGAGGAGAAAAGGAAAGACAAAAATTCACTTCTTATACTAATCATATTTGAAGCACTATCATTTTTGATAGGTTTAAATAAGTAGTCAATGGTGATTCATTACTTTACAAATAAACTTTAAATTATTTTAAAAAAAATACATATATTTATTTAATTAAGATTAACAAGAGATATAAGGTAAAGTTTTCCCTCGACAAAGGAGAAAGGGGGCATTGCGCCTTAATTATTGTTAGGGGCTCGGAGCTTCTTCATCGCCCATAATTCCAATCCTTCTCAGTTTCCTCTCCTTCTGCCTGCCTGCCTGCACACTTCTCCGCTTCTCTAACGATTCTCCTGCATCTCCACCGTGCACGCCCCTCTCTCACTTCTGAGGCAGGTCTTCTCACTTATCTTTATCTACTTGCTCACTCTTAGCCTATTCGCCTCTTCGCGTAGATCGTTTTGTTTTGGGGTTTTGCTCTCTTTGGCTGGAGATCCGGCTGACTTAGAATTTCGTTATGAAAAACGCTGCTATTTTACTATTCTTTACCAGCATAGATTGAAGTTTATGAAAAAAGAGCAAAGATAGTATCATTTTGGTCTGATGAACAAAGAATATGATGTATTTATTTCGGTTCATCAGAATTCGAAACAACGATGGGAGCTCCTCAATTTCTGGAAGTAGAATTTTATAGAAATAATAAAATGAGCGTGATCCGTTTGTGGAGTCATAAAACTCTTGGGCGAGTTTCTGGTTTTGAACTGTTGTTGATAAATTATGCAGAATCAGATCAGTTGTTAATAAGTTTGAGATGTATAGTACTACAAATAGAGCGATACTGGATAGACTTGGTGGAAATTTATTATTATTATTTGAGAAATTGATTTATGGGCATTTTATTAGAACTTTCACAATTAGGATATTGGATGGTGATGCATCTCAAATATCTATTATTTAGGACGTGAGGTTCTCCCCTCCCTGTTTGATGGAGACAAATTCCTTATTTTAACGAATGCTAGTGTATAAATTGAATCAAGGCACCCTTTTATCAGTTAAATGTGAGAGAACATTGAAGATTGGCTTAAAATTTATCTTACTCGGCTACATAAATATTTCACCTTGAAATGAGGCTAGTATAGAAATTCATACGGATTTCTTATAATGTTATGCAATTAGTGATACAATTATATATGCCTCTTTTTAGTCATTTAGATGTGTAAAAGTTGCAGAGCAGCTTTGTTATCAAATACGGAATACTGGACCAGAAAAGGAAGGTAAATCACATTTTGTATTCTTTTTGTGCTGGTTAATGTTGTTGAATAGCTTTCATTCAGGTCCTTTGTTATACTGAAACCTTTTATGTTTGTTTATACCGATAATAGAGAGCGACCAGTAGACAAAATGAAGACATTAAATTATGATTTTTTTTGGAACTTTTGAATTTTGGAGATATTTATTTGTGAAATTTTTGTTAGAAATAATGAGAATAAGACATTTGAACATGATGCTTCTCAAGTAGCCAAATGAGGACATGAGTTTAATAGTTTCCCAAATCTAATGGGGAATAAAGGTTGGTTGGGTAGCCTTTTCTTAGCTTTGCTGTCAAGATAGTTGATACACTTTTATTTGGCTACAACTTTTTTATTGCTTTTAGTAAATTTTAATGATGTGAAAGGAACTTTTTATACCTGATTTGCTAGAGTATGGTATATGTAAGAACATTGTTGTCCAATTTTTTTTAAAAGGAAAATCTTAAATACTCATAGCTTTCAAAGAAATCAATTTTATCTATAGTAGCTCTACAACTACTTTTACTAACAGTTGCAATCACCCCATAAAAACCTTAAATTTCACTGGATTATAATGCTCGTGTATGTTTTAACTTAGCCTTCATTTTATTAGTTAAAGTATTGAGAATTTAATGATTGGCTCAATTTTGCCATTTTGCTGCTATATAGATTTTCAACCTAGACATGATGATGTTAACATATGTTTTGAATATGTTTTTATCATAGATATTTGAGTTATGTCTTGTTTTTAAGCTTTTATTATTTTGTCAAGGCTATTCTAGCATTTGACATGATGTTTGTTTCAAGTTTTTAGCAGTTTGCTAGCAATTTGTTAGAAGTTTGCTATTTGTTCCATACATAAACATGGGAATTCTAAGCGATGTAGGATAGTTCATGACATGTGTAAGATTCATATTATAGATTTGCAGACTCATCTTTATCTATTACGAAATTTTTATCTTAATCAATATCAATTATAAGACTTGAAGAATTTCCGGAGAGGTTATTATGTGAGACTGAAGTTTCTTTTCCTAAGATTATAGTTATCCTCATAATAACATCATTATTAATATGTTGCCACTTGTGATTACTGTTGATCTTCTACATGGTTTCCATTTGCGAGAATTTTATTGGGAAGTATTTGATTCATTTATTTTAAAATTCTATCTTTTGGCTAATATTTTGAACTTGAATGTTTTTTTAGTCATATCAGGCTGATTTTTATGCCAACCATATCTATCAGCCATTGAATTTGGGGTTTATAAATAGATTATCCCAGACATATAATTAATTATCTTTTGTTTAATAAAATAATTTTCTTTAAGTTTTCAATCTTTGTGTGTTTGTTGGTTTTGTGTGTAGTACATATGTGACTACCGAATTTTAGTAAAGTCATCTCTTCATATCGTTCTAAAGTCTTAGGACTAAACTTCTTTTTATTGGCAATTGATGTTTCTAGCTTAATTTTTTCAAAATATTTTGTTATTAGCCTGATAGTGCTCCTAATCTTATACATATTTGACTCTGCTAGAATATATTTGTTGTGCTTAAATTATAGTTACTTATCGATTTTGCATGTTTCAAATTTCTCACAACTATTTTCAACTTTATTTGATCCTTTTGGTTATAATTCTTGCATTTATTATTTTCATTTAAAGAAAATAAGTTATTGTCTTGTTTAATGGTTTGCGACCCATGAACTATTGAATTCTTTTGAATGATTTACATATGCTGATTCAATTATTTTAATTTTTTTTATTTTTGGCTATCATTTTGAAATTGAAGGTTTTTTGAGTCATATCAGGCCGATTTTTATGCCAATCATATATGTTAGCCATTGAATATGGTGTTTATAAATAGATTATCCTAGGCATATAATTAATTATCTTTCATTGAATAAATATTTTTCTTTAAGTTTTCAATCTTTTTGTGTTTGTTGGTTGTGAGTGTTGGGCATATGAGACAAACAAATTTTAGTAAAGTCATCTCTTCATATCGTTCTAAAGTTTCATATCTAAATCTCTTTTCATTGATAACTTATGTTTCTGACTTATTTTCTTAAAAAAATATTTTGTTATTAGCCTGCTAGTGCTCCTAATCTTTTAAATGCTTGACACTGCTAGAATATATTTGTGGTGCTTAAATTATAGTTACTTTGTGATTTTGCATGGTTCAAATTTCTAACTAAGTTTCTCAAATTTATTCAATCTTTTTGGTTATAATTCTTGCATTTATTATTTTCCTTTAAAGAAAATATGTGATTCTTTTAAATGATTTACATATGTTGTATTTTACTATGCGCTAGGAAGCCTTGAGCTTGCTGTCTTTATGATGGTCTTTAAAAGATTTCAAATGCACACGTTGTTTAGTTACTTGATTTTAATTATTTTTTTGAGTTTTTTTTTTTTTTGGTGCTGCATTTCATATTGGTGCTGCATTTCATATTAGTAGTATTAGAGGTGAGTTAGCCAGGAAGAACATCCTATTACATTTCTTCATGAGAAATTAAATGAGGCTAATCATAAATATTCAAATCATAATAAAATGTCAATGTTATTGTGCAACCTCTACTTTATTCAAGCTTTAGGAATATTCTAGTTCCCAAAAGTGATTGAATATAGACATTTAAGTGGTTTGATTTTTTGCTAGAGTATTCTTTTATCTTTAAAAACTATGTTGGAGTTGAGAATAAAACATTCTTATGCTTTAAGTAGGGTGTCTGTCATGCTACATAGAATGTAGTTAGGGTGATTGGTTTTTTATTATATAAAAAAAGGGTATGCCACTTGTAAAAATTTTTGTGATATTTAGACTTAAATGGCAATTTATCTTTTCCTAACAATGATCACATTCTTAAAGATGGTCATTTTTTTAAGTATCGTTTTTCTTTAAGGGAACTTTTTTATTCTAAAAATACATATGGGCATTTTGAGACATTTTGGTTGTATAGAACCATAGCAATGATTGAGAATAGAAATTTCTAGCCGAACCTTAGAATGGATGTGGGACATATTGTTTGACAATGAAGAATTTGTCTGTTTGCTTAAATCAGGATGCATACCATAAGATTATATACACCTTTGTCAATTTCAGATAAATCATGGGTGGATGTTAGTATACATTTTGGGTTGGGCTTAGCACAAACATTTATGAAATATAAGTCAACTTTTCATGGCGGTAGATTATTTTTTAAGAAATGACTTATTTCATGTTATGTTATAAAATTGCTGATGCATCTCATATTGCTAAATAGTCTAAGAAGTGATTTAATTACACAACTTGCTTAAAATATTTATTTTTTATTGGGAAGTAAAATTAATGATTTATTTTTTTATAAAATAACTACAAAAATTTGAACATAATTTATATTTTATTTGCTTACTAACCACAACCTGATGGATAACTTGAAGTAGTAATAAAGAGCTTGGGGATCTATTACATTATTTAATAAAATTCTATGACTAGGTGGGAAATAATATTACTAATGAATTAGCATAATATTGTCAATAGGTCTATTGGCATTGCTCCTTTGAGGTTTTCATAAGGTATTAACCTAGAAAACATATAGATCTTTACATTTTATTAAGTCTAGCCCTAGTGCTCTTTTACAATCATTTATATAACATATGAATGCCTTGCATAAGGATATTTGTAAAAAATTGGCTATAAGTTATGACAATTACTTGTTTTATGTTGATGTGAACATGAGAACCTTGTGATAAAGTCACATTCCTTCTAAAATCAGTAAGGTTTCCACTAGGATTCCTTAAGAACATGAATGGAAATAAGGCATTGGCATTTATATATTTTGCAGCACATTGGAACTAATACCTTTATAGTTGAAATTCCTGGAAATTCTAATTTTAATTTAGTTTTCATTGTGCTTGGTTTAATCTTGTTTTATATTTCTGCTGCCAATTCTTTAGATTTTTCTCTCCTTTCACCTCTCTTAAGTCTACGCCTAATCCTCCACTAAATATCCTATACATTGTATTTTTATTGTTATTTTGGATGATGAGATTATGACTGTTACTGATAGTGGATTCCAAAAATATAGTATTCATCAATGAGATACATTTACTTGTGATAACATATGGATTACTTTCT